GCCTGTTAGGGTGTCGGTGCTGACCATAAGCTGCCTGTTAGGGTGTCGGTGCTGACCATAAGCTGTTTGTTAGGGTGTCGGTGCTGACCATAAGCTGCCTGTTAGGGTGTCGGTGCTGACCATAAGCTGCCTGTTAGGGTGTCGGTGCTGACCATAAGCTGTTTGTTAGGGTGTCGGTGCTGATCATAACTACCACTCAGGGTGTCAATCCCAACCATGAGCCGCCACTTAGGGTATCGATGCCGACTGTAAGCCACCATTCAGGGAGTTGTCGGCCACTATAAGCCACTGCTCACGGTGTCGGTGCTGACTGTAAGGCACTGGGGTGGCCTCTCAATCGGCCAATAACAGTGAGTCTCTAGGACTGGAGTTGAGAACTACTGTTTTATTATTGGCTGATTGAGAGACCTGTGCCGTTTAATAGAAGACACATGCAAGTAGTTTGTATCAAATTTTGAATGCAGTTCCATAAAAGAGCTCAGCGGTACAGGGAAAAAAAAAAAAAAAAACGTTACAACTTTCCCCAGTCTCCCCTATGTTTAAACTGCAGCTTCTTCATATGAAATACTGTACAGTGTTTCTGCTCTTTGTTTCTGTTCTTCCTGCTGAGTTGAACAGTCCCTCCAACTGTTCTACCAAGAAATGATCTGTGTTCATTACTCACTTAACATTTCAGCTGCATTTCTTTTACCAGAAAATAAAGACATTTTCAGTTATAGCCAGTGTTCAGTGGGAGGAGAGGTATCTGAAGGACCCTCCTGTGTTTGGTGCACTAAGGGAAGTCAGTGTTTGAAGAGAATGAAGCAGGACACGAGCTGCATGTTCACAGTGAATGAGCCTTTTTTCTGGCCACACGTGCCATGGGCAGCTCGCCCGCTGCCCTGTGCAGAGCTGGCGCTGTCTTTCTCACCTCCGCCTGCCCTCCCACCTCCCCAGGTGACCGCGGCTCCCTTGGAGCGCTACTGCGTGGACCGTGGTGCGGAGTACGAGTGGCGGGCGCTGAGGGGAGGCGGCAGCCTGGCTGCCAGGCACTGCTTCCTGTACGGCGCCCCGGACCTTTCTGCCGCCTGGGCCGGCCGCCTGCTTGCCTTCTTCCCCGAGAGCTCCGGGGGGGTCATGGCGCTGCAGCCCCCGCATGGCTGGTCCTACATCAGGATACCCGGTAAGATGGGCACATGCCCCCTGCTGGCTGCAGACAGAATTAAAGTTTCCTTCAAAAAAATATATAAAATTGTGTGTGTGTATGTGTGTATATAACACACACACATGCCAGAGTGATTATGTCTGTTGCCTGAGTGATCTGCGATTGGCTGCTTTGTCAAACCTCTCAGCTGGGGTGCTCTTCTTTAATTGTGAGCTGTCCTAAAATATTTTGAAACACATTTGCTGCAGTTAAAGCTGAATCATTTAACTGCCACTTACATTACTGTAGGAGTAATGTGGCTGTCATGTTACCATTGTGTCCCTAATGTCACCCTTGTGTCACTCTCCTGTCACCCTCGTGTCCCTCGTGTCACTCTTCTGTCACCCTCGTGTCCCTCATGTCACCCTTGTGTCACTCTCCTGTCACCCTTGTGTCACTTTTGCTGATGGATTCTCCAGGGCTTTGAACATTTTTTTTGTGCAGTATCTCAGTAAATTGCAAATATGTCAAATACTGTTAGCTGATTTTGTCTTCACTGCAAACCACAGTTTGGGTTTTCAGTTTTTACAGATGTGCAATGATCACTGTATTTAATAAATCTTATCTTTTCTAGGAACATAGTTCTTTGATGGATGTGCAACATTATCTCTTTTTCAAATATATAAAGAGGTGTATTGAGGCATGCAAACACATAAAAATGCATTTTCACATATAGATATGGATCATTGCACTGCTGATGATAAATGGCTTTTTCCTACTACGTTTTGTGGGATGCGGCAAACTCCTAGTTCTTAGGCCCAAGAGATTCTTTCCAAAGTCAAATTTTTTACACTTTGGCCAATATTTCAGCATATGTTTAAAGATGTTCATCCTCCATGATCCTAAAAATTTCACCAGCAGAGGGGGCTGCTGTGTCTTAAATCAGGGACCTCTGCAGCTAACCATTTTATAATGTTTAACAATTTTTGTTTTTTACACTTACATGAAAATGTAGACTTTGTGTTTTATTTAATTATCAAACTGTAAACATGATCTGTATTATCAAATGAAAAAATTGAACAGCCAGTTGTACAGCAATTTTAATTCAGATTTAATTTAGAGACTTCTCCAAAGTTGACATGTACAATATTTAATGTTATTTGGAATATATGGGAGTTTTCTTTTTCTCTGACTTGCAACAGGCTGCTTTGTGTGCAGTGACTTTAGTTTCTCAATGGTTATGATCATTCTGGGCTTTCCTGTGTGAAAAGTAGATCGTCTGGACAAAATCAGCCTTTGCCAAAGCATAATTATGTGTCTGGCAGCCAGACTAATTTCCAAGCAATGTTTTTTTGTGGGATCTTAGTCGGGTGGCCCCAGGTCAAGCCAGTCTCTCTGCAGCACATAATTAAATTAGCAGAGACTGTAGCTTGATCATAATATTTAGGAGGGAGTTTATTGGTGTGTTTCTGCTGCCGTATTCATGGTAACAGCCATGTTCAGTAATGGCACGAGATTGAGTGTCACACAGCTCTTGCTTTAGTGAAACATCCAGGAATGATGCATTCTGTATTTTTAGCTCGATAAGTATAGAAACTCGACTTGAAGCTACATACATGACCTGAAGTCTAGGTCTAGAACCTACCGCTGAACCATAACTGTTAGCTTATACTCAAAGGTTAAAAAGTTTACATTATTACATTATTACATTATTACTGGCTGCAGAATTGGCCTTTCTGCCGAAAAGCGGGGTGGGATTTGAGTGTTTGTGAGTATAATGGCAGATCTAGCATGCACCACTGATCTGGTAGGTGAAGAATTCTTAAAACTCTACTCTGGAATTTATTTCTGCTGATATTATTGCTAATATTTGCCAAATCAAAATGAAGCCAGACCTGGAAGAGTCCGCTGTACTGCATCATGCCATTCTTTTGCTGACGTCAGTACCAGTAAATGGCTGGGTTTGTAATTCCATGCTGCCAGATATTATAATGGATAGACATGCGAGGCTCGGCGCGCTGGCCAGTCGGTGAGAGCGGAGCCTCCATGGCTCTATTCCTGATCAGCACCTGTCTGGGGGTGTGGCTGGGCAGTGGCCTGCTCGGCCTGGGGGTGTGGCTGGGCAGTGGCCTGCTCGGCCTGGGGGTGTGGCTGGGCAGTGGCCTGCTCGGTGTGGGGGTGTGGCTG